GTGTGTGTGTGTGTGTGTGTGTGTGTGTGTGTGTGTGTGTGTGTGTGTGCGTACATATCTCTGCACCCTTTAAAACCTCAAAATTGCAAGAAAAGCTGATGATTTTCGATCCCCTTGCAGACCTCTCTAACATTTCAGTGCACAGAAGAAAAACAGTGAATTGTTTTGATTGTTATAAAATAGTCCTGAGTCTGACTTTAACAGCTATAGATGAGGAACTCCTCTGACCAGTTTCAGGACCCCACCCATCCTTTCAGCTTTAAAAGTTCTAAAAACTACTGTTTTGGCAGAAATATTCTCCTCGAAGTGAAAATGAATATGAAACGCTCTGCCATAACTGYCAGGAGAATTGCTAATCATTGCCTCCTCCTTTTATTTATTTATTTATGCGAAATCCACACAGCCACTGTGCTAATATTTGAAAGTTGGGCCCTTTAAGGTGTGGAAGAAGGTGGGGTTGGGAAAGTCGTGGGTGTGTATTTATAAATTTGTGTATGTGTACTTGTGTTGCAGCAGAATACTGAGCCAAGTGAGGYGATTTGATTTTAAATCTAACTCCCCCATCTCTCTACCCCTATAGACTAACTAAGATGTGCATGGAAAAGAGCAAGGCCCAGGGCTATTATTCACCCATTAATTTTTCTATTTGAAATCAAACCTCAGTGGGCACGTATGAGGGAATAAGACGAGGGGAAAGGACTTTGGGGATAACCTTATCCAAAAGGAGAGTGTAGATGTTTTAATGTCCAATAGGGGAGGCAATGAGACTGAATCTATATTTTTAGTCAGTGTTTGTTTGCTCTTCACAGCTCACATCTGCACAATTCAGCMGACGTTCTTAGTTATTTTCTGCTTTTCGATGGTTAAAATACATGTAAGTTTCTATAACACAACTTGCGTGTTTACTTCCCTGAGCACACGTACACAATGTAGAGGACCTGCTCACCTCCTGTCCCACATCCTACCTACCCACACACGTACACACCTCCTCGACCTCATCCTTCCTCCGCGAGGTCCCCTTCAATTTCAGTCCTCCATCGCCACCCCTCCGTCTTTCTTTTAAAAAAGCGCCGGTGCTTGCTAATCTGTCAATCAGATGTTGTCCTGTTGTGATGGGGGTGTCGGCGTGAAGGTGGGCTTTACATCTCCAGCAGCTTGGAGCTGCTCGATGATTAACCAAGCAGGTATAGTGAGTGAAACTGCTGACAGCAGAAACACACTGACAGCTGATTTGAAAGACAATGGCTCCGCTCCCTCTACTTAACTTGTCACGGCAGTCAAAGCACCTTCTCAATTAACTTGTGACGGATCTGGAGAGATGGAGGGAAACATTGGTTAGAGCAACACAAACACAGAAATACTTAAAAAATACACACATACACATTAATAAACAATTGGATTTTACTGTGTGTTTATCCAGGAATAACATTTTCTCTCAGTAATTCATCATAATAACAACTTGTAAAGTAAAGTTTGGAAATTTCACTTTGCTTTGGAACAGAATTAGAATAGAATAGAAGAATAGAATAGCCTTTATTGTCCCGCAGCAGGGAAATTCAGGTGTCACAACAGCATCAGTACAAAGGTTCACACACTACTTACTTTACAAACTATAGACAGTACACACAAAACAAAATTAACACTGACTAGCCATGACAAGACTACTAATACAAAAAATATAATATAAAGAATTGTGCAAGAATAGAAAACGATGTTTTGTTTCAGAATCCAACATTAGGAATCAGAAATTGCCTGTCTCAACAGAACAGTTCAGTGTGAATTCAGTGTGAAGGCAGAAAGCCTGTCTCTTCTGTTTATTTTTCTAACCAAAGGGWTTGATTTTAGGGCCACTTTAAGTAGGACCACTGCTCTGAAAGGTGGGAGATAATATAAATGTTAGCTGTGTGTGTTTTGGCGTTTGCCAACAAAACATGTCAAACCAGTTTGGAGCCAGTCTGAGTCAAGATGACTGTCATAAMTAATCAATCATAGCAAAACACAAAAATGGATATAAATCAGTCAGTTTTACAGTTATTGAGCTAAATTTAGGTGTGACAGTAGCAAAGAGTCATTCATGACACGTATATAAACTTTAGCAGACTGTGCGACAATTCATTTCGTTTATTGTTTAGGGAAATGCCATACTCTACACCACATGTGTCAAACACAAGGCCCGCGGGCCAAATGTGACCTGCAGGTGACTCCCGTGTRGCCCGCCAGGGGGAACCCCCCCTCCCCAAAAAATAGATTTTTTTTACTTAGCATGAAATTTGTTTCTTTTATCAATGGTAAACTTTGAATTAATGATTAAATGCAACAAAATAAATTTAATAAAAATAAATGAAACAAAAATAAATTTAATAATTTCCTGTCCCTGAGCTGTTGGCTTTAAGTAATGGAGCAATTTAGTTGGATAGCACAGTATAATGTCTGAAAATAAGCTGGTCAAAGTCAGCATCAACCATAAACTAAATAATATTTCTGTATTTATTACAGATTTAGTCAGTCATGTACTTAGTTCTTATCAGTGTTTAAAAGAGGATGTGTTAAAGCACTGTTTAGTCAATGTTAACCATGAAACGTCAAAGTTTATCACAACTGGCCCTTCAAGGGCCACCATAACGCTCATGTCCTTGGTGAAAATGAGTTTGTCACCCCTGCTCTACACTAAAACATTTATAGCCAATGCTAATTTGCAATGCCAGTCCCTAGATGGGCTTTTAGCATTATAAAAATAAAACAATTTGAAATACAGTTTAAAAAGAATAAAGATTACAACATTAAAACAATAYGTAAAACAGACTTTAAAACWGATCATGAATRTCATRAAAAAGGTGGCRGTTATTCATGATCAYAAAACTAGTTCTCCTTCAGATAAAGCTTTAGTCTTGATCTAAAATGGTTCCAGAGAGAAATCAGTTTCAAATCTGTAGGTAGGGAATTCCATGTGTTGATGCCTCAAACAGAAAAGGCTGTTTCACCCAAAGAAGTTAAAAAAATCGGGAACTCATTAATGTATCCTCCACGAGTTACTGAACCTGTAGACAAGARAAACCAACAMTGAGCACCTGAGTCYGTCCATTTAGGCATTTAAAAACAAATGTTAGACTGGAGAATAACAAAGTTTTTTTAAATTCATCACGTTGGTTCCTTACGGAGATGATGTGATAAATTGCAGTGGTTCCCAAAGTTGGGGTCGGGACCCAAGGTGGGGCCCTGAGACATAAAGGTGGGGTCCTGAAAAGATTTTCTGAATTAATTACACTAAAAAAAATAAGAACTAACAACAATTTTTTGCCTATGTTGTTACAAAAGAGTAAGGTTAGTGTACTTATAATGGACAAAAATAGCGTAATGAATATTGTTACTATGCCCTCGTTTATTTTATGTGAAAACAGTGTTTATGATCCAACAACAGCAGGGGGCACAGGTGTCTGCTGCTGGTAGTTTGCGGGTCAAAAGCTGAAAAATTTGGGAACCACTGATCTAATGTGTTTTCTACTTATGATCTTGATCTGTTATAAATTTTTATTTATCATCATAGTTTAAAACTTGATATGAAAGAGAGCAATTCCTTTAAACAATGTATTAACAGTTTTAATATAAATATTTCAAATGCATTTTTTACTGATAAAACTAAATCAGTAAATGTTGCTGAGCAGTGCAGACATTGTTTTGAATGATTATCACTTTGATGCCTTCTCAGATGTTTAGGTGATAATGMTTGGTTTTTGATTTTATGTTGTTTTAATGATTGTCGCTGCGAGTTATACGGTTTGTCTTGGACGCTTCTATAAAATAGATTTTAAACCTTAACAGGAGGTCTAAAAGGAGTTAAAAGTATCTGCAGCTTAAAATGTCTGGCCACAGCTCTCACTCTGGCAGCAATGTCCAAACCAGAGCAACAAATGAAACAAAGCCCAGCATCTCCTTGTTTCTCAGATTGATAGTCCAACACTTCCCAATTATTAACCGCCCCTGTAGTGTAACATTTGTATTCAAAGCGATATACCTCCCTCCACTTCCTGCGCTTTGTATCTCGTGTCTTTGCAGAAGAGAACGGACGACGCGGGCAGATCTGTCAATCAAAGCGCACCCCCTAGCTCCAAACGGCGTGGCCGCCCATAGACAGTCGTCCGTGTACCTCCACCGGTTGCTGTTTCTCCTCAGCTCAATGAGTAACCAACCTGCAGGTACTGAATCAAACTGCTGACAAGCATGGGAAGAGGAGTGGAGAGGGGAGGGAGGGGTGGACACGTAGGTGGATGGATAGAAAGTTGGAAACAGAGGGGAGGACAGAGATGACAATGCATTCATTTTACTCAAGACGGGGCCTGCTTCTGTTCATCCACCCCCCCCCCCCCCCATCMYTTTCCCTTCCCACTCTTTTAAGTGGTGTCCTTTGATGGGCTGTCCCTGTCTCTCATCTTGTCCTCTTAGACAGATGGGAACTGTCAGTGCTGTCATCACTGCCCAGCTAAACATTAATGACTCCTTTGCCTGACAAGTGCTGGCTGGGCAGCGAGGAGGGGAAAGGGGGACACCTCTGGACAAAACCAGGCATGAAAAGGAGAAGTGATGGTCTTATGTATCTGACAGGTTCTCTTTTGTCTCGCTGAACTTGCACAGAAGTATGTGTGCCATCAGCAAATTCTTGGCTTGACGTGGTGGTTTTATTGCCGTTCTTTCTGTTGTTTTCTCATCCTTCCATTCCATTCATGACTGACATTCATTCAAATAGTATGTGTTGTTTCCTGGACTTTGATGCTCACCACAGTGACGACAGAGTCAGCAGACAAAAGTTAGGACTCATCCCAGAGAGGATCAGCAAAAGTTAGTAGCCTGGATTTACATTTCTGAAAGGATACTCAACTCGTCACGTGATTTTAAAAAGTTTCTATCTTATGATAATGTCAACACTGGTCTCTATCTGACTCTCAAACTAGCTGCCTTCTTTTAAATTATTAACTTCTCATGCAGCTCAGCAGAGTGAATGAGTACTGCTGAGTGGGCACAGAACAGATCAGGCTTCTCTTAGCCTACGTTTTGGACATTAAAGAGATGATGTTGCTCACACACACACACATACACATCCAGATGCTTGTACATWCCAAGCAGAAAGGTTTCTCATTCAAGGGTGGCTATTGTAGAGTGGGGCAGTCATCCTGTGGGTTGCTGGTTCAATCCCTCGTTCCAGCCATGAGACTTCACCCGCCTTGCCTACTCATGGTAGTCAGAGGGTCCAGTGGCACCAGTGCATGGCAGCTTCACCTACCAATGTAGCTCACAACCATCAGTGTGTGGATGTGTAAAGTCAATGTAAAGTGCATTGGGGTCCAACAGGACTTGATAAAAATATTTTAGCCTATAAGTTCAGTCCATTTACCAGTTTTGCAAAATCTTAAAGAAAAATTGCATTTTAACTTATCTTCTAATGAATTTTATTCTTATTATTAATCTATTTTTTGTTTTTTTATAATCTTATTTCTAACCCAATTTTAACCTGTTTCTTAGGTAGCATGTACATAAGATGTAGCAAATGTTTAAAGAACCTTGGGACTATGTTGTACAGCTACTTCTATAAATTACCTACCTATCATTCTCAAGCTCTCTCTCTCTCTCCATATCTGCTCTACCTTTATTTGGTAAATGGATAACAAAAAAATGGACCTAGAACTCATCCCTGGGGAACATCAGACAAACAAYGACACGCACAGACATAAAAACTGTACATAACTAAACATTCGCATTCCCCACACATCACTGTTTAGTTCCCATTTCTGCAGAGGACTGGAAGTCAACACCAAGGAAAGTGTGAACCAGTAGGGGTGTAACAACACATTGATCCACATCAATTTATCGATTAATTGATAAATGATTCATTTACATCAACGTAAATCAAAACGTTAGCCCGTACCATTGTCATATGCCCATTGTGGATTGATACACAGCAACATCTGAATAAAAAGTAAATTTTAAATTTGAAAATCTAAAACCTACATTAGATTGCTCTAACGTGTGTAAACTGAACTTCTGGACAGCTGACGGTTCTACAGTGGAAAAACAAAAAGACAGAAAATGTCTTCTCACCAGCATTCCCTCACGTGGAGCTGCAGGCCTCTTGTGGAGCAGCCGCCCACTCGCCCTGCTTACTTCTCCCCAGGCAGCCTCTCTTTCTCATGGGTTCCCGGAGCAATGATTAACCCAGGTTCTGATCAATGCTTCTGCTGACTCTGATACATCACCGGAGCCTTTCAGCTGCCATGTAAAGGAAGCGTCGAGTCAGTACTGCTCGTGGCTCAGTTTGTCCACTCCATCACAGACACATTCACACAGGACTGAACAAAAATAACAAGGACACCGCATTACGCATGCAATAGGATGAAGCAGCAGTTCAATTATAAAAACATTGAGGAAATGCTTTACTACTGGTGTGTCTTTTTTTGTAATTATGTCAAAATTATTATAGTTATCTTCAAAACTTTTTCAATGAGCAAAAAAAATGGAGAATCACAGAGAAGGATGGTCGCTCGTCACCCGGTGGTCCTTTACCTCGACAGCAGGGGAAAGCCCTGATTTCCTGAAGATGACAGCGAGCACAATAACAGAATGTTCTGTCAGCACATCCTCCTCACAGAGCAGGTTAATGATTCAGTAACCACAGCTGAGCTGGAAAGAGGGATGAGCGGAGAGAAGTAAAAGAGGAGGGAACTGGCATTTAGCTCCACTTAGAGCATCATTAYAGCTGCATTAGAACTGATGGTGTTTTTCTCATTTTAATTACCTTTAATCAGATCTCGTAGTCTGGTCGTTTGTAAACAAAACAGAACAAAGTCTACATGTCACACGTGTTTACAATGCATCAMTTTTATCAGTCATTCAGTTAACCTGGTAAAGTGTTAACTTTATTAGTTTCCTATTGCAGAAAAATGATGATGACACAAACAAATCTCAATGATGAGGTGCAAGAACAGTCACTGTTTAAAAACAAAAGAAAGTGAATTTGTGAAATTTAAACCTTAACAGTCCAAAGATTTTTATTTTGTTATTGTATAAAAATGCACAATCAAATAACAGATAAAAAAGGGAAGTTGTGTAATATTGAAATGAAAACAGAATGCAACGATTTTCACATCTCTTAAACCTATTTTTATTAGCAGTGAAACAAAGTAAAATATCAATTGTTTAAAATAGAAAATTTTTAATGGTTATTATGAATTTTATGGCAGTAACACATTACTTTACATTTAAATGTAAAGTAATGATTCAGTTGAATGAAATCAGTTGACGTATTTTTTTAATTAAAGCCACTACATCTGTTCTTTGAGTGTATGACTTGCCAATTAACCTAATTCACAGAGGAATGCTCCTTTAGTTGTTTCATATTTGTACCACATACTTTTACAGTCTTTGTCGACCCTGTCTTGTATTTTTTTTTAAATGGCGCCTTGTTATCAAATATAAAATGACACAATGTCCCAACATTTTGAAATTGGGGTTAAAGTTTCCAATTTAAACCATCTGGGGCCAGGACAAATTTCCTATAGTGTAGTTTTTTAACACTTAGCATTTGGAAACTGTGAGAACCCATTTACTAAGTGCTTTTATAGTAATGCATAGTCTYCTAAAGGGTTCCATATGATTGACTTTGCAGTCTGTTTTGTCACATATATATCACTTGTCATATTTTTAAMACAACAAATGTGAACAGCTGGATGTACAGTACTAAATGTTGCCGCCAAATTTTTAACATTAAAGTTATACAAAATGTTCTAAGTATTTTTCTATAGTAGCTACTTAATTGCTATTAGAACATAGTGATTAGGTTATCAATAAACCTCATTTATTGTTATTGATTTCTGTAAAATAAGTATAAGAGCTTTTAATGTCATCATTGCGTGTTCTCATACAATGACGAAATTTATCCTCTGCATTTAACCCTTCACACATGAGATACAAGTGGAGCAGTGGGCAGCTATGTAAGAATTGGTATGCAGCTAGGAATTAGGTGACTTGCTCAAAGACACCACAACATGGGCATGGCAGGAAATCGAACCTCAACTTTCTGGTCCCGGGCCATCTGCCTTACCACTGCACCACATCCTATGTTTCCACCTCTGTGTGTGTGTCTGTTACCAAAATATCATATGAACCACTGGACACATTTTAATGACTTTTGCAGAAAGTAATCATTGGGTGTATCTGCTGTACAACTTAACTGTTGGAGTCAGTCCAATTCAATACGACTGCCAAAGCCAAGTGACCTTAGACAACACAAAAATATATAGTGCCATCAGTTTTACAGATGATGTGCCARATTTGATGTTGTAGTTGTGGAGAGTCAATAAAAAATACATACTCTGAGAATGACAGCTTGCTTCATCACAAGTCGTGCTCAATGTTATTTTTGAAGTTTGACCAAATCAGCTGAAACTCTATTATTTCTCAACATAAAATGATCTTTAAAACTCAGGTCTGAGAGGCAGTGATTCGTTTGCATTCCTTCAAGAAATTATTTTGTGATGTCTCTGCTCCTCATTGCACAGAGTGGGATTTCCTGCCACCCCGGCCTTCTTGCAGAAACTCAGTTAAAGTTTTAACCAACTGCTGCTCAACAGTACTGCTGACTGGTGTGTTTAAACACAAGAGATCAAAGTTATCATGTTAGAAGAGAGAGGTTTCTTTCACTGGACCCATCCAGCCTGTCCACTCCATCTTATCAGCCTATTCACAGCAGCAACGCTTCAAACCCTCCCATCCTCCCACTCCTCTCACTTACTTTATTCTCATTTTTTAACCTATCGTCCTTTAAAAAAAGGAAAGAAAAAAGTTCCCTTCTTGGTTTTTCTGCACTCATCATTCCTTAATGAGTAGCATATTAAATAATTATTTATTTCAAACCAGAAAAGCCTCTTCAGATCTCCCCCACAGTCACGTCATGTCCATCCTTCTCTCCAGCTGTCACCTGGCAGAGTAATCACATCCACAATTGATAAGGCTGGTTAGGTGGGTCATAAAAAGTTTATGCTTGTGATGCTGGAGTCTCATTTATTATCCCTGCTAATGTAGCAGCTGGGTACGGAAGGGAGGAGGGGGTGGGAGGGCAGAGYGTGTGAGTGGTTAAAGGAGCCCACAGCATTAAGGGGTGATTACTCTTCTTACTACAGGATCTGTCCCTACCTCTCAGTGCTGGATAAGTTCTTTTTATGGTCTTGATGAGGGCCAGTGCTCTCTGTATTTAAGTGTTCCGCAGCCGCTAAGAGTTCAAGATGCTTCTGGCACAGGAGGTAGTTACCGTTCTCCAGCCACAGAGCTACAGCGTAGACTCCTCGAGGCTTTCTTCTTCTTGTACATTCATTCACTTTAAGAGAAATTGTGTTTAACAGACAAAATAAATAAATAAATAAATAAATAAATAAATAAATAAATAAATGCTGTCAAAATATTGTACATAAAGTGAAAATTTATGTTGTAACATTATGGGACTGCTGCAGCTCGGTGATCAGAGCGGTGGTCTAGTCTAGTCTGAGACCRTAGGTTCGAGCCCAGATAGTGACCCCCTGCAGAAGGGAGCATCCCAAACACAACATACAGTACGTTCCATTGACAGTACTTTTTCATTATTATTAAGTTAAATAAACCTTAGTGTTAGCTTGGTTGACTGAAATTGCAAATCTATTGCAGCTTGAAAAAAAATAAGATTTTTTGTTTTTTTAGTCTGAACAATTCAGATCTTTTGAGTCAGGGTTCTGTGGATTATTTGTCCATCCATCCATCCAACCATCCATCCATCCATCCATCCATCCATCCATCCATCCATCCATCCATCCATCCATCCATCCATCCATCCATCATCTTTACCTACTTCTTTTATTTTGGGTCATGGGGGTCACTGTGTGAGGGGCGGGGTACACCCTCGACATGTCACAAGTCCATCACAGGGACACATAGAGACAAACGAGACAAACAGTCACGCTCAGACCTGGATAACTTGGAGTTACCAGTCAGCCTACCATACATCTGTGTGAGGAAACCAAAGTACCCAGAGAAAAGCCCTGCATGCACAGAGAGAACATGCAAACTTCCCCCAGAAAGGTCTCCGGCTGGGWTTTGAGCTAGCAACCTTCTTGCTGAGTGGCAATCTACCAACTGAGCAACTGTGCTGCTGTGAAATAGTTCTGAATAAATCACACCTACAATGGCTGCAAAAAGTAAATTTGCTCCATTTGTAGTTGTAGCTGAGAGTCATCCCCAATACCCCCAACACAAGATGTGGGCTTAAAACTTTGGCATCAACAGCTGGGGTCATCTCTGTTTGTTAGCAAAATATCTTGGATAGGTATTCATGAAATTTTCTGAATTAATTTTTGAAGTCAGTCCATTCTTAGACGATTATCAATAAAATATAGAAATGATTTGAACTTTGTCAGTTTTACAAAAAAGTGAGTGGAAATTTGAAGGGCTAGTAGCTTAGAGTCATCTACAAGACGTACCAAGTACAAAATTTATTGACATGTTTAGCAAAGTGATATGCGTTCTTATGTGTTTCATCTAACTGTTTTTCTATTGTTGTCAAATCTCATAATAACACTAGCTCTGCAATTCTTTTACAAAAAGTACTTTCTGTATCCTTCAGATGGTGATACTCACACATTAATACAAGTTGTACATAATGTTTATGAACTCAGTTTTTTCAAATTTTCAGGAACTCATTTGTTTTTGTCTTTTTTTAGTTTTTTAAACTACTAACTAATTCTAAAACCAACTAGTTAAGGCGAGAGAGCTATAGATATTGGCTTATAATCACAATAAAAGAGAAAGAGACATGATTCATTTCACAAATGTACTTAAATAAATGGAGCACATTGTGGATYACATCTATAGATTCCAACAAAAGACGTGAAAAAGTAAGGTTCTATTTAAAAAAAACATAATGGGAGCATGCAGATGGGACGCCCAGGGAACGTGGGTTTGTATGAGAGTGTTAGTGTTGGGGGTGTGTGTGTGGGGGGTACCCAGAGGCATAGATAGTGATAGATTGGCCTGGGAGAGCCGTGATGCAGATCCACTCATCAAGATTGATGTTCTGTCATTCTGCTTTAAGTGCAATTAAATTGGCCCCTGTGTTAAAAAGCCCCGCCGATAACGTGGCTGGGGTTGAGATTACGCTACATT